TATAAAATTAATTTTATACCTAATTGGGATAAGAAATAACTTTTAGAAGGCATTAATGAGTAATAAAAATTATATACTAGCATATTTTCCAGATACTTGTGGGAAATGCAAAAATAATATAGCTATTAGTGCAAGAATTATTTAATAAAAGAGAGTCTGAAGAAAAAATACTTTGGGCTTTGTGATCTGCTGCATTATGTATATAAGTGGAGCCCAGTGGAGGTGAAGAGAATTGGGTACTGACATACACAGCAGTATGCAGAGACTGCAAAGGCCTGACAAAATTTACTTGTCAGTACATATACAAAGCAATGAAGCAAGAGTGTGTCAAAACGTCTGATATGGTAACTTGTACAGAGAAGACAGAAAATTAAGCAATAATTCCTCTTTTGTGAGTCAGACAAGATGCTCTATCTTTTGTGTTATTAAAAACTAAACCATTTCCCCCTGACATCTAAGAACAGAACATCATAATATTGGGCAGTTTCCTGTGAGGTGATAAAGTGGTTTTGATTAAGGTGGACAGAATTCCCTCATAAACATTAGCAATTTTTCTTGTAACTATGATGAAACACTTCCAATTTTATGCAGAAAATAAAAAGTGAAAAATAAGATTACTCATGCTGAAAGAATAAGAAGATTTTTCTCAGTGTCAGAGCTGTGTGTGGGAGACATCTCAGCTGAGCTCAGCAGAGACAAAGCACGTTGCTAGCAGAAGAAAAGTCCAATGTTTTTTGGTGTGTCATGTAATACAGCTACGTGCATTGATACATGAGTGTGTGATACAATGAATAAAACTGAGTTTGCATTTTTATGACCTTGTAATTCAACTAACCTCAGTATCAACAGCGATCAGAGAAATGATGGGACTCAGAAGATTTCAAATTAATTCTGCTAAGTGAGGCACACATTGTGAACTCTCTGGTCTGATGTAGGAAACACCCTCTCTGTCTTGCAATACACGCTACCCTTTTTGAGAAGTCACATCTGAATGTTAGATGCTCTTTAGTTTCCAAGCATATGTTTCTGTTAGAGGTTTTTACCTACTTCATTCAAAGGCGAAGAGACATGCAGGATTTTCTGGTCTGAGCCCTGCCCGCTTCCTTTCTCAAGTTTCCCAGTTTCATTTCACACTGGGTGATTATTGCTGTTCTCTGGCGAAGCTCGCAGCAGGAGGGATCAGCACAGGAACGGCTGAGGAGGGTTGCGGGGGCAGAGAGGGGATGCGGCTGCGCCTCCTCCTGCTCCCCGGAGACTTTTGACATCCACTGCACCATCGGGAGCAGATCACTCACCCACAGGCCGGGGGCAGCAGGCGTGCTACGGCCAAAAGAGATGACTGTGGTGCAGAGATTTACAGTGTGGAACACTCCTCTCAAATAATGTATTTTCTAGAGTCATTAACTGTGCAACGTTGCCAGTGTTACTGATTTTATTATCAATTGAAATTAATTTGTGTTTGATTTTAATATAAGTATAGAATTAAGGGATATTTTAGTAAAAATCATTTTACATTTATTGCATTTTGAATCTAGCAATCGACTGCTACTCTAAAATTCCCTGTACAGCCCCGTACCAAGGCTGAAGGGGTTGGTCATAATTGTTTAGTAGGAATGGCTAGAACCTAGGTTACAAATCACCTTGTGTTTTGTTAACTGATTTATAATACATATATAGGACTAGAAGAATGCAAGTAGTTGTCAAAGTCCAGGATTAATGGGAACTGAGGGAAGTAACCGTAACAGCTTGCAAGTACCTGCCAAGAAAACTGTGTCCTTAAGCAAAAGGTAATTCTGGCAGGGGGAGATCGTGACCACCGACTCATGGACCACCTACTCACATCACACCCCAGACCCATTTCTAACCTTTACTGCGCAGAATCGGAAATAGGAGGGGAATATGTTAACGATTTCTTGGAAGTTGTATGCTGATGTATGAAGACTTAATGAATACGTATGAGTAAGTTCTATATAAGGTGTATGATTCTGGTGCCTGGTACGTGTTGTTGGTGAGAACACTCCCCTACATGTCTGGCCGTCAATAAAGAAGTGTCTGCTTATCTGCCTCAAATTGGTGTCGATAAGTTATTTTTATCCTGGATTTCGGTGACACCAGAAGCAGGCTTTATAGAAAGCAGAGTGGATTTTGGAAAAATAACGAAGATATAAGCTCTTTTTTTGCAAGTGCAAGCAGCACTAGCACAACCTGACATAACAGAGTGGCTGCTGGCAGCTACCGAGTGAGCTGAAAACGATGCTGCTCCTAGCTCCTGATTTATAGCTGATTGCCTACGCAAGAGCTGAACATACCTCACGGTCATGTAAGCCTGAATCAGTAATTACATTGTGTGAATCATCAGATCTGAGGTAGCTGTTCTACAGTAGACAAGTAACACTGTCACACTACTAATAGTCTCAGAGCACAAAGCTGGCTGCAGAAATGGAAGCACTGACAGTCTGAGGGGAGTTGAAGTGACCTGCAAAAGGACAAACTGAAGGCTTTCCAGTGCAGTGTCTTATTAAAGTGGTGTTAAGCATGACTGATCAGGTGTTTCTCTGCAGGGAAGACAGCATAGAATTGTTACCTTTGAGATGAAAATAAATTAGTCTACAGCCAGCACTGAATCTTCATGGAGACAAAGTCTCATTAACATCTAGGATAGTTCTTCTTGAGGAAGAGCAAGAATAGAGGCTGATGTAACTAGCTGGAGTGACCGCTGAACTACTTGTTCCTTGCTTGCATAAAACAACCCCTTCTAACAAGGATAGAGTTAAAAATTAATAGATTTTAAAGAGCTTTGGTTGGTTTGGTTTTTTTTTAACCTACCTGTAACACATACAAGTAAACCAAGCAGTCACCCAACACTAGGAGGGAAATAAAACTCAAATATTAAGAAAAACTTTTTAGACTTTTAGCAGTGTAACAGGTGAGGAAGATGACAGAAATTACATTCATTTTGCTGAAGAAAAGGAATGTGTCCACAAACACCAGCTCTAAGAAAGAACACTCAAGCAATTAAGTTTTAATGTCGATCTTCTTACATAGTGCCTTGTAAATTCTTACACTTTAGGGCGCTTACAGAATGAGTAAATTAATTATGTTTAGGTATCTGTGTTCCTGTGAAGGCGTGTTAAGTGGTTTAAGATTTTAAGTTCAAGTAACTGGAGTGCCAGGTGCAACACTTAACTGCTCTTAACTAAGTTAATTCTTAACGAAGCTAACTGGAGCATGACAGTTAGTTTGCTACGCGTGATAAGATACAGGTTAACAACGACTTTTTGCATCACCCAGGACCATCCTCCACTGGAGGTGCTGCCGGGCAGGCGCCCGCACACCCCGTCCCCGACACCCTTCCCGGGCTACGGGGCGCACTCACCCGCGTTACCCCGCAGGGCTCAGCTCTCCCCGGGGGGCTTCAACGACATCCCCGAGCAACCCCAATCTCCCACCTCAGGGTGTTCGCGCCTTCAACAAACTCACTGTCACGGTGGCCCGCGCATGTCCGGCGGATCCCCCGCGCCTGCCCTTCGCGCCGGAGCAGCCTCCGGGCAGCCCCCGACCCCCGCGGCTGG